TCCGGCAAATGCAGCCGAAAACTATGAAAGCGAATGCACGCACAAAACAGAGAACAAACTTAAAACACAACCGTATCCAAAGGTGTTCGAAACTCTCGCAATTTTTTGACTTAGAATAACAATATAAATATTTATGTGAATCCAATTCGTCAGCATTAAGGTAAAACAATTCCACAACAATTATAATATATCCATGATTTAAAAAAAAAATAAAAATAGCAGGCTCATCAAGAGTGAAAAACTACTTAATGCCTTAAAAAGCTTAAAATGTGTTTAACTATTAAGTTTTTGGCTGATAAATTCACCAGATTTAGGTGTTTAAAAGCTGAACACATGTTAACGTGGTCGATGTACAACAATTATTCAAACTAAGGCTGAATTAAAATCGTTGGAAGAACACTTGCTAAGCACCAAAATTTTTAATCGGGTAGGTCTTGATTTTTCTCTCTATTTACAAAGTGGGGTGAAAAGTAATCTCCTTGACCGCCAGAATGCGCTGCTACTGCAAAAAAGGTTATAGTGCCTTGTAGCAACAATCAATAAGAAACTAGCGATTTTAAATTGGCTCACTACTTGACTAGCCTATTGGTCCCAAGCAAACGATTAACGTACCCCATTCTAGTCGAAATTCTACTACTACACAGTGGTTGTTTTGTTTCGCTATGAAAGTTTGACAGATAAAATGAGGGGTTAGTGGATTTTCCTATATTTCGAGGGATGAATCGATTAGCTTGGCACCGAAGAGAGTACCAGAGCTGAGCCAACAAGTTGAGCACATTATTTCGGGACCTTCTAGTCTTAGAGTTACCTCTATGCTTGTAGTCCGTTCGTATTTAGGCAGACATGCCAAATTTCAGTGCGATAATGTCTTTAGTTTTGTTTTGATAGCTGATTGTTGTTAACGTGTTTGGCATCATGTTGAGTATGGATAAAAACGAGTTTCGTTCTCTCATAAAACATTATTTTTTGAGAGGCAACCCGAGCAAAGCTGAAGATCAAACTGAAATCCAAAATTTGCTATTATGATGTAACTTATTTTTAATGACTCCAGTTGATCTCATTTTGGTTGACCGTTAATAACACAGCAAAAATGTGAGCAAAATGTTACACTGTTGAAACAAACGGAAAAGTAATCCTGCTATCAATTAAATCAGTTTGATTACTGATTTTGCATCCATGTTGTTTAACTGAATACGGGCCTAGCGTAAATGCTTAGCATCCATGCTTCTCACGCTGAAAGACTTGAGCTCACACCTCACCCCGGGCAAAACAAGAATGACCTAAAATGTGTTTTACAAAACAAATAAACAAAAATCGTCAACAGATGAACTTATATTAAATTTTAAACTAGACGTTAACAGCAGAACTTCAAGTTAAGTTGTTTAAGGTGTTTCCTTGTAGAGTCCATTTTTCCATCACACCTCGCAATTTCAAGAGCACACAGCTCAAGATCTACAAGATTTTTAAATTTGTAAATTCCAAACATTGCTTGCTTCTCCGCAGCAAACAACAAATAGTAGTTTCAGCTGCGTGCATTCACAGAAACATGCACATGTTTCACAGTTCATGTGAAATTGTGAAGTGTAATACGAAAAAGGACGCTACAGGAAATCATCTTAAGTTATTTAAAAAGTCTTGACTGCATAATGAAAGCACAATATGATATCGGATTTCTGTCGCGGCAATTGAAATCAAAATTAGTTTTCATTATGATAGGAGCTGCAATCTTTAATATCGATTTGCTTTCATTTTGTTAACCGACTTTGCTCGGGAAAATGGCAAAGGAAACAAAGGAAAAGTTAGATAAATATTATTGGGCTGACGCTCCGCCAGATAACACCGTCAAATATTGGTTTCGAGAGTTTCGCGGTGGCTTCAACTCCACTACCGATCAAGTCCGCAGCGGCAGGCCATTTGATGCGGTTACAGAGGGCAATGTCAAAAAAATACATGAAATGGTGTTGGCTGACCGGAAAGTGAAGGTGCGCGAGCTAGCAGATACCGCAAAGATTAGTACTGAGCGCACACGCCATATTTTGGGCGTGATTCTGTGATATGAAAAAGTTATCCTGCCGCTGCACAGTGGGACGAAATCAAAAAAAGTGGGACATGGCTATTTACGATGAAACTATTGAGTGTAGCTTTTTGATGTCTCCTAGAATGTTTCTTTATTTTTCAAGTACTTTATTTAAAAAGTTAAAATTTTTGGTTAAGGAGGATATACACTCAGATAAAAATTAATAACTTTTTTATGTCTTGTTAAATTTGATGAACACCTATGGAAACATTGAAGATGAAGTCTTTTTAAGAAACTTTGTTCAAGGTTTAAACTTTCTATCTCTTAAGTGGACGAAGTTATAGAGTGAAAATGCACTACAAACGTTAGTACCCCCTTAAAAACGTTTTTTCACCATAACTTTTTTCTTTGAATTTTCTCGTTTTTTAAATATTGTACAAAGTTGTAAGTGCTAAGAAAATCCACTGAAATCGCTATCTCTTTGTTGAAAGGATTTACGCCAGTTTTTACAATTTTTTTACACTATCTTTAAGGGGGTGTACCTTGCAGGTTAGCAGATATTAGCAGCTAATGACAACGTCATTTCATTCAGCAACTTATACCCTACTGTTTCATATTAAATTCATAGGGGGATCCAAGGGGATGCTTCATAAATTTTCAAAAAATGTACCTCAATGTTTTGCTACGTTTTACTGTTTACATGAAGATTTTTCCAAGAATCTACATAGGTACATGAAGACAAAAAACGTATTGCTTACTGTTAATTATGACAAAAGAAATAATTATGGATAACATTTGCTTAGCTATCAATATTAAATGGCACTACAGCAGGTGGTAACACATTTATTTAAACTTATTTGCGTTTAATCCCGTAATTGATGTTGACACTAACGAATCCTGCAAAAATTATCGATTCAATTTTTGTATTGTTTTATTTTTCCGTGCATGCTGTCATTCAGTCAATTTATCCGGCTATAGTTTGACAGGTTTTCAAAAGTGATTTTTAAGAGTATCGATATGTTAAATCATCTAAGATCAGAGTTGTGTGGTGTTTGGTTTCAATCAGATCCAAAAAAGAGTAATGATAGTGTTTTGGAATATGTTAAGAACTTATATTAATATGAAACAGTAGGTATAAGTTGCTGAATGAAATGACGTTGTCATTAGCTGCTAAAACCTGCTAACCTGCAAGGTACACCCCCTTAAAGATAGTGTAAAAAATTGTAAAAACTGGCGTAAATCCTTTCAACAAAGAGATAGCGATTTAATTTCTGCTGTAAAAATGTGGATTTTCTAAACACTTACAACTTTGTACAATATTTAAAAGACGAGAAAATTCAAAGAAAAAAGTGATGGTGACAAAACGTTTTTTAAGGGGGTACTAACGTTTGTAGTGCATTTTCACTCTATAACTTCGTCCACTTAAGAGATAGAAAGTTTAAACCTTGAACAAAGTTTCTTAAAAAGACATCATCTTCAATGTTTCCATAGGTGTTCATCAAATTTAATAAGACATAAAAAAGTTATTTTTTTTTATCTGAGTATATACCGTCCTTAACCAATTTTTTTTACTTATCAAATGGTACTTAAAAAATAAAGAAACATTCTAGAAGACATCAAAAAGCTACACTCAATAGTTTCATCGCAAATAGCCATGTCCTACTTTTTTTGATTTCGTCCCACTGTGCGCTGGGTGCTGCACAAGCTTACTCCTGACCAAAAACACGAACGCGAGAGCACTTCAAAAGAGTGTTTGGACTTTCTGAAGCGGAATCAGGTGGAATTTTGGCGTCGATTGGTAACTGTTGATGAAACCTGAATCCACTATTACACCCCAGAGAACAGAATGAGTGCCTGGCAATGGACTGAAGCCGGCACGAGTCCTCCGAAGCGGCCGAGGCAGGCTCGATGGGTCGGAAAGGTTATGGCGTCGGTTTTCTGGGATTGTCATGGCATACTCTTCGTGGACTAGCTCGGAAAAGGAAAAACCATCAACAACGAGTGAATTATTGGTGCGATTGAAGGCCGAAATCACTGCTAAACGGCCTCGTATGAAGCGAAAAAAAATTGTTTTTGCAAGGCAATGCGCCGGCACATAAGAGCATCGCAACCACGGCAAAAATCAATGACTTACGGCTCCAATTGCTAATGTATTCGCCCACTTTGGCTCCCTCAGACTATTGTCTCTTCCCAAACCTCAAAAGATGGCTCATCAATAAAAAAAAATCAGCTCACGTGAGGAAATCATCGACGCCACGGTGGAGTATTTTGCAGATCTTCAGAAAAATTACTTTTCTGACGGGATCATGAAGTTGGAAAATCGCTGGAATAAGTATATCGAGCTAAAAGAGAACTACCTATATTGAATAAAATAAAATAAAACATTTAAAAAAATTTCATTCCCAAGGAGATTACTTTTCACCCCACCTAGTATAAGCGATGTGGAAAAATGGTGTTTGCTGATATTGTATAGCTGGTCATTGTCTTCGAGCGGTCACCAGAAGACCACTTTCAAATCCGGGACATCCGTAATTTTTTTTTATCTAGTTCATTTATTTGGAAGGCTCAATCGTGTTAAATTTACGGAGCCGATAGTTAATTGTTCATTGTTTGTAACAAAATTAATTTATTTCTACACACTTAGATTTTTTTGCCGAATCTCGGTTTTATTTTGCCGAGATCCGCACAGCCGAGTGCTCGGCAATGAGCTCGGCAAACAAACTGTTGCCGTTAATCTCGGTTTAGAAAAAAATGACAGCTTGTGCGGTTTACCGAAAATCTCGGTTTAAGAAAACTGATTGCTCGGCACAGTAAAACTGAAATCTCAGCAAAAAATGTAAACAATCTCATATAAATTCTACCGAGATTTCAGCAAATCTTAATAAATTCAAATAAATTTGAAAACTTGACTGCATTTTTCAATCAACCATCATTTATTTCTCTGTTCTTGCTGATTTCACATCAAAAATAAAATTAAAATCAATTAATTTAGTTGGCTTACAAACTTATTGCCAGTGGTACTCAATGCTTCGATTTTGAAACAGTATGCATAAAAAAAAGAATAAAAAATCTTGTCCGATGGGCAGCATTTTACATTAAATACTGTAAAAACTTGCAACAGTAGAGTGAAGGCGCCCAGTAGATTGTTTCCGACAGGAATTGAGATGTCCTTCCAAATAATGTTGCAGTCACCATCTTCAAATAATGTTGCTGACACGATGATAAGCGGATCTTCTGTGTTAGGTAATTCCATCTCCGGCTAAAAAAAAAATTTGAGAAAAAAAAAATATAAAGTCAATGAATAGGAAGAGTTTGTTTTATTTGATTTTATATTCAAACAAGCATTTCCATTTGAGGAATTTAATTTAATCATTAATCCAAAAGTTAAATGTATATTTTCCATGCCCCTCGGCTTCTTTCCGATATTATTATATGTTTTGTAAAACAGCGTAACAAATTACTCACATCAATCCAGTCGATGATACCATGCAACGGATTAAACTTTCGTGCTTCTTTTTCTTTGTCCGGTCGTGGTCGTTTTGCTCCTCTGGTTGGATTTTTTTCACGAACTACGGCTAACGCCTTGATCATATCGTTTTTGATATATCTGTACACATCTCGGTATTGATCCAGAATTTTTGGTTGGATAACATTCCATACATCCTCGAACCGTGCCCCATTTGGCCTCATTGACTCAAAGTCAAATGAAATCTGAAACATAAAGACAATAAATTAATAAATTCAGAAGTCCTTCCATATTCCCATATATACCAATGCTCCTCCAAACGCTGTAGCTACCGGAAAGTCTTTCATGAACTGCAAAAATGTTCCTTCCTCACGAATGTTGTTACGGAATCTCAACGTTTGTTTCCATAAATCCATAATTCTTGATTTTGATTGTTCCGTGGGTACAGCAAATTGCAGTTCTAGTACCTGTGAGAAACAGATTCATTATAACAATAAATTCGAGAAATATTTTTCATTGTTTGTTTTACCAGATCATCGATGGTTGCTTCGTCTTGATCGTATTCTGATACTTCTGAAGCTCGCAATGTTTGGCAGTCATCGGAGAGTCTGTGGAATACCCGTTTGTCTGATTTCTTGGCAAGGAACTCCATCCGGTAGTGAATTTTTCCTGAATGGCGCCCACTACCGCGACCGTTTTTGTAAAACCACAGTGCCTGCAATAGTACAAATACAAAAGCACGTTTTCGTTCATTCACAGCAGATATTTTTGACACACAGTTCGATGAAAAAAAATATATATGATCCAGCATCCAATACGAAAAATACGTGAGGAAACTATTTTGTAGTCAAGTTATTAACGAAAGCCAAATCGCAGAAGAGAATTCAAGCTGAACAATGAATTAAATCTTTAGGAACATTGACAGATTCTCTTCGTCGACTTTCTCTTTCCATCTCCCCGTGTATAAATATTCACAACTATTTTCATGGGGGAGGGGGGACGTGATGTCCAATCAGCCTACTGCTCATTTTTGTATGAAATTGGTTCCAAACGTAAACAAGCCCTGTAGGTTTCTTATGGCTTGTTTACGTTTGGAACCAGCTATTTGAGGTAGGCGACGATTGTTCGTATTTGACAGTCACCTCCCACCCCTTGCTATTTTCAACTCACAGATCGATGAAAGAAGCTATTTTATAGTTCCTAATACGACAAACACGACAACAAATGGTTCTGTACCCAAGTTATTAACGAAAGAGAAAGTCGATGAAGAGAATCGATCAATGTTACTTAGGACCTAATGCAATGTTCAGCTTGAGATACACCGACTGGGCTTCTTTATGTTTACGTCAGTTTCTCAGAAAACAATACCATAAAACTTGTTTGTTATCTTGTAGATTTCTATGATAATACGAAAAGTGATAATGTACATATAGTGGATACGTCTTGACCAAGGATCGAGCTAGCATTTCCTTATAGAACGTAGATGGCCTCCTGAAGCATTGGATGATAATGAAAAGAACTTTGGATTTCTCATCATACTTACTCGCCGTAAGCAGATACCAGGTAGTCGCAGAGGATGTGGGTGATCTGTTTGGACACCTTCTCAGTTGGTTTGTAACCTTCCACCAAAAACTCTTGAATCTCTCGTCCTGTTTGGGTTTTTGTGAATATTTGATCGACGTTGATTTCCTTGAAACAAGAGTGATATTTTGTTTATCTATTCGCATATTCGCATAACGCAAACGAAACTTTAACTAAGTGAAAATTTAACACAGGTGCTATGAAAAGTATGATGTATATGATGTAATTACTATGGAATTTACTATAACAATAATGATTGAAATAAATTAATAGTGCAAACAACACGTTACTTGCTCAAGATTGAACGAACGATCATCATTTTCGGCGTTCGAGTTTGTTCCAACGTCATCTGCATGAGTTTCGATTATGTCTTCAATATGGTCTTCCAGTTCTTCAACTACCAAATCATTTTCCAACAGTTTTTGAAGTTTTTGAATGGTTTTTACCATTTTCGTAGAAAGTTTGAGCCGTGTGAAATCATCGTTGTCAAGTAGTGAAAATGTTTCCAGGTCCGTTATCTCCTCTCGAACTGTAACAAAAATATTATCAATTAGAAATTACTTACGCAGCAATGTTTAAAGGTGATATTACTTTTCGTCAATAATCACGGCAATAGTTTCTTCTGGATATAAATTTAAGATTACTTCCATAAGGACTCCAGAAAAAGAATGTTGTATGCGAATGAATTTGGTCCATGGAAAACAGTTTTTCGCTTGATTCTAATACTACTTCGTATGCCTCCAAGAATCTGTTATACGTTATAGTGTTGCATAATTTCAACAATAAATGTATACTGCTATCAACCACAACAATTTCAGCAATGATTCCATATGATGGGTAGTATTCGTTGTCGTAGTTTCTGATGCACACTATCAGATTCGATCGGAATTCTATTCCATTAACTGTGACTCTCTTAGGCACAAACACATGCGGAATAGTATCATGTAGGAACGGCTCACTACGGCAATGACCCCGCTGAACAATTTTACCTCCACTGAATGAGATTTTATCCCTGAATGGATTGTCAAGGATATCAATGACCATTTTGAAATTCTGGCGTTTAGCGAGGCTTTTGCAAATATTTTTGAAATTCCTGCACGTTGCCGACTGATTTTTGGTAGGCTTATTCTTCTGCTTAAATACCAGGCAATTGAATTGTTTCATGTTGCCGCTTTTTTAATGCATAGTATGTAATGGTCAAGGTGATGATTTTTATTTATCCGTCGATTGAATTTCGCGTAAAACAACTCTTCGTATAGCCGTATATGCTCTTCTAGTGATGCCAACATGTGATCCGATACTATTGTGGACATTAATATTCGTGTTATGTTGATCAAATGTCCAATCATGTGCATATATTCGCAGTCATCGGAAATTTTGTGACCAAATAGAAAAGGAAACGCCCTTAATAACAAAATATTTTGCGCAGCTGTTTGTTTCAGTTTGTGGGATGTGGGTTTAGAAAGCATCTCGTTTGTGAAATTTGCTGAAGGTTGATTTTTTTTTGTCGATATATCCATAGGCAAAAGAATGTATACGATGATTAATAAATTCTACATTCATTCCGAGTTCTTTATTTTTATAATAGTAGCTCAATACTAGCTGCACAGTTGTAGGTACCAAACCTTCTGCTATATCATGCATTGTGTCAAGGGCAAAATTTTCAGTTATGTGGAAATTATTCAATTCATTCAACACGCATCCATTCCGTTTCAAACCACAATCCGATGGGCTTATTTCTCCAGACACAACTTTACTCAAGTTCTGTTCATACCACTCCTTTGTTCGTAGGGGGAAATGTTCAAACGGGTTCTGGTGAAAAGCTGGTCTTTGTATTGTGCAAAGTCTGCAAAAATATGTCGCCATAGGTCCGAGAAGACCAAAAACCTCATGCACAGCCAACGTATCGCCACAAAATATGGTTACTACTGCACGGAGTGTGAATTTTTCCGTTCCGTAGCAAACTGTCACTCCTTCTTCCAGCTTTTTGAGGTCACTTATCAGAGGTTTGAGGATTTTGTTATATCCGTGCTTCTTAGCATCTATAGAGGTACAATACATAAGTGGAAAAACGGTTTTCGGAGAACTATTCCATTTGTCGGGGAAATTTTGAATTTTGAAATCAATAACAGACACTTTGTTTATTCCAGCTCTTGAACTTAACGCATTTCCCAACTCTACGTCGTCTTGGTACAGACTCAGACGTACAGTATCAGGGAATTTTTTGAAATATTTACTGTTTTTGTATGTCTCCCCAGATCGAAAGCTTGTATACTCTTTGATCGTTGCGTTTTCTGGTTCAGTGTCGTTTAAAAGATCTCTGTTTTGAGGGTTTCTGAAAATCAGTCTCAATGTTTCAATAATTGGTGTATACATGAAAGCCTCATTGACTTTAACTTTTTTGGAAGTGCCATCAGTATGCCGGATGTCATCTCGTGTTTGAAGCATCTTTTCTGACGGGTTTGGAATGCCTTCAGCTAAAACATTCAAAAACTTGGTTTGCTTTGATAGGGTTGACACGTCAGTGAACAAATCCGGCAAATGAAACTGATTAAGAAATGAAATAGTTTCTGGAGAATCCAGGTTAATGTCGCGGCCGTTCAAAAATTTTTTTGATTTTTCTTGAAAATAGTCTCCAAGCATTTGAACCAAAGTTTCGCATAGCTTGATCATTTCTGCAATTTTTGATTGTGGTAACGAAACATCTGATGTTAACCGACAAATACCAAGTGCAATAGCTTTTTTGATTTGCTCCAAGGAAAGAGTATCATTTGAGATTATTTCATCAATTTCATCCGGTTGGATAGGGCTACTATCAATTTTAGGCATTTTGAGGTTAGGTTCCCGCAACTCATTCAAATTAATTTCTCCTTCCAGTGATTGAAGGAAAGGTGAACAAGGATGTTGCTGCATAATATGCCTTTTTAATGACTTAAAATGATCATATCTGGACCTACATTTAGGAACCAGACAATCATAAAACACTGCATCCGGGGCAAATTGTTTGTTCCGGATATGATTATTAATATGCCGCTGAAGCTCATCGACATAACCCACAACTTTTTCATAGCAGAAAAAGCAGGTTAAGCTAGATGTAATTGGCTGAAACGAAATATGCAAATATGTAATTAAATTATACTTACCGAAGATTTCGAACAGTCTTACATCTTCCTGCTGGAGTACTCCAAGGATCGGTTCCATAATTCTAGGTTCTTCCTGTATACAACATACACTATACACAGTTTTTAACAAAGCTTCCAAACACTCAAATTTTTACTAGCGCTATGAAAATGGCGGATGAAAGCTGAAATGCCGAATGTCGGTAAACAAGCGCTGCCAAAACGAAATCTCGGCATATCACATTACCGAGATCAGTGAAATCATTGTTTACGTTTGCGCTCGGCATCCAGTGTTGCCGAATTTCGGAAAAATATGAAACAAGCCGAGATTTCAGTCTACAGTGGTGCTGAATCTCGGCTTAAACTGTTTTTTTTGCTGAATTCTCAGTTAATTATGATGATACCGTGTTGGCTCGGTAATATGTATTGCCGAGCTCGAGAATAATTTTTAAGTGTGTACGTCTAGTGGGAGTTGGGCCGAATACACGCGGTTTACCCGAGGGTAGAGGGGTACATTATCGAAGGGTAGGATCCTGGGAGGAGCTTAAGGGTGGGGTTCCATCGTCTCATAAGAGCGATGTCGCCAGTATGAAATCCGTAATATTGTTTGCTGCGTAAATTTGTGCAGAGTAGGCCTTGATTTTTCTCTGCAACTGTATAGAATGTAGTAAAATTGTATTTTTTTTTTAATATTAGCTGGTAGTAAGTTCCGAGTGGTCACCAGATAGTCCGCTGTAAGATCTCAAACATCTGTCAAATTCATTGCTGTTTAAATTTGATCAAAGTATGCCTTGACTTGCCTTCTAAACTATAGAAAATTTAGTAACATGGAGATTTTTGATATATTTGCTTGTCATTGGCTCAGAATGGTCACCAGATGATTTACCGGAAGATCCGAAACATCCGTAAAATTGATTGCTGTGCAAATTTGATCAAAGAATACCTTGATTTGTATCGGTAACTATATGAAATTTTGTAAATTGGTAATTTTTGATATATTTTGCTGGTCATTGGATCTAAATGGTCATCAGATGGCCCACCGGAAGATCCTGAAAATCCGTAAAATTTATTGCTACATATTTTTGATCAAAGTATACTTTGATTAGTTCTGATACTATATGGAATGCAATAAATTGGTTATTTATTTTTTAATATGAGCTGGTCATTCGCTCCGAGTGGTCCCGAGAATATTCGGAACATCCATAATCCATTGATTGCTGGGTAAATTTGTTCAAATTAGGCCATGATTTTTTCCTGTATCTATATCCGACTGGCCACCACCAGTGTTGGAAAAGTTCGCGATATTTCATGAAGTTCACCAAGGGAAAAGTTCGTGAGTCATAGTGAGTTTTCGTGAACTTTTCCATCACTGGCCACCACATATTCCATCGGATGAGTGTTACTATATGGATTCTATGGACTCTGAGTGAACGCTCACGAATCATAAAATCGCTGATTGTAACACTCTGGAAGCGAAATCGACAGGTTATATGCATCAAACACTTGCCTTTCAACCTCTTCTTGTATCTAACAAGTAGAAATTTTCATTATAACATCTAATGAGCTCAAAATTTAGAAAATAATATTTTTTGAGCAGGTGAGTGGAAGTAACCCTGATACGGAATGTAGTAAAATGGTGAGTTTTGATATAATAGCTGGTCAGTGGGCAAAGACAATTTAAAATATTTAATTTTTTGGCATTTTTTTTTTAAATTTTCACTTGAAATTACTAAAAACATGTTTTTTTTTTTATTTTTTTTTCAAGAAAAAAATCAAAAACGCTATTTTGGATATGTAACACAATCCAAAATGGCCAAATTTTTGCAAAAATGTGAATCATTGTCCATGCTAAATTTGATGCAAATCGGAGATGGTCGACTTTTTTTTCCGATTCGTAATTTGGCATTTAAAGGGCGAACACGAAATTTTTGCGACACATTCAACAGGGCATAACTTTTTTACCATTGGGTAAACATCAACCAAATTTTGCACACTTTCTCATTGATGTGTATTGTGTACATGCTGTCAAACTCGAAGTCGTGTTTTTCGATTCAACGAAAATGGAGGTGAACCAACGCGAGTTGAGAGAACAAATTCTTTCCAAACACCTGGAATTTCCTGACCTGTCGCACCGGCAGTTGGGAAAAATGTTGAACATTCACCATTCAACCGTCTCCAGAGTGTTGAAGCGGTTCCAGAAGCGGTTGACGTTGGACCACGGCAAAGGAGCTGGAAGAAAACCGGGACCGGAGAACAAAAAGACGGAGGGAAAGGTGAAGCGGATGATTAAAGCAAATCCCAACGTCTCAAGCCGTGATTTGGCTAAAAAGATCGGCATGTCGCAGAGCTACGTCCAGAATGCAAAGAAGAGAGCTGGACTACATACATACAAGGTACAGAACTTCCCAAACCGCGATGAGCGGCAACAATCGACGGCTAAAACTCGGGCACGGAAGCTCTACGAGAAGATGCTGACAAAATATGACTGCTGTGTGATGGACGACGAAACGTATATAAAAGCCGATTTTAAGCAAATTCCGGGGTTGGAGTTTTTCACCGGCAAGAGCAAGTTCGATGTGGACGACAAATTTAAGAAGAAGAAAATGTCGAAGTTCGCCTCCAAATATCTCATTTGGCAGGCCATCTGCTCTTGCGGACTGAGGAGTGAGCCTTTCGTGACAAAGGGCACAGTAAATGGCGAGATCTACAAATCTGAGTGCCTCGAGAAGCGCCTTTTGCCGTTCTTGCAGCAGCACGACGAAGCTTCGCTATTTTGGCCAGATTTGGCATCATGCCACTATTCTAAAAGTGTCCTGGAGTGGTATGAGGCCAATTCTGTCCATTTTGTTCCAAAGGACATGAATCCGCCAAACTGTCCGGAGCTGCGCCCGGTGGAGCAGTATTGGGCAATAATGAAGCGGGAACTTCGGAAGAGCAAGAAGACAGTCAAAGACGAGAAGGACATGTTAAGAAAATGGAAAAAAAAAACTGAGAAACTGGTACCGGATGACACTGTAAAGACTTTGATGGAGGGCATCAAGCGAAAATGCGTTCAATTTTACACTCAAGGCTCCATCGATTAATTTTTCTTTTGATTTTTGAAGTAAATATATGTATAAAACTACCCTAAAATTTTGATTTGATTCTAAACATTATAAGAAAATTGGCATGACATTTTCGGTGTCGCAATAATTTCGTGTTCGCCCTTTAAATACTAATAAACATGAAGTTTTTCTAAAGCCATTAGATCGTTCGTTATTGTACTGCTTCGGTTATGAGCCCCAAATATTGGATAATGAAGATATTGAAGATGTTTGACTTTGAAAAAACCCAAGAGGTGGATTTTAAAACAAAATAGAAAATTTTGGACATTTGCATTTTTTGAAAGCTCTTAGAATTAGAGTTTATTTTAAGAGTCTGATACTTCAAAGATTTTTTTTATTTTGAGAAAACACCCAAAAGAACTTGGAAGAGAATTGAAAACAACTTCCTTTCCTCTATCCTTTTATTTGGCAGTAATAGCAGTGGCAGACGTAGAAAAGTTTAACTTGCATACCACACAATCGGAAAAATTTCCAGAATTACGGGAATGTATGGGAAAATCCGAGGATAAGGAAATCGGAATATGCTGGTCACCATGCAAATTTGAAAAATACTTACGCATATTGAGTGAAATTTCAATTTTGGTTAAATGAATCATTTTACCTAGTGACTCTTTTGGCTTAATCACATTCGGTCTAAGGGCGTTGAGTCTGTTGGCATCTGGCCTAACAATCATAAATTGTTTGGCCCTCCTATTTCAAATTCTGGCTTCGCCCTTGACTAGAAACCAAAAATATCCATTTGTGTTACAAAGATTTTAAATATATCGGTTACTATACATAACCTGAAATGGCTTCGTTTTCTGAGTACAACGATAGTTTTTTCGAAGCCATTTACTTCCATATCGATTTTATAATCTTTAAATCTCAATGCAAAATAATCACTTAACTTTTTTTTCACAAAACTAACAAAATGACAGCTCACTCTCATACAAAGTGCCACCGACGGGCGCTAAGATGGCGATTAGTTCTAATGTAATCACACTTATTTAAAATAGTTCCAGTGCTCCAAAATTTATGAAATTTTGGATTTCGATTCCATTTGTACCTAATGAAGATAACGAATATGCAATTACCTCTAATGAACCCAATTGTTCTAAGAACAATTGAACGACAAGAGTTTTTTTTTTCGATGTGCCCAATTTTTAAATCCATACTCTAATAAAATGCCTGGTTTTATGAGGGTTTTGTAGCCCTCGATTAAGACTTGTAGAATACTTTAAAACCACGATAAACTTGCAATGTTGCTTGGGTAGGCCAACATTAGAGCCATTTCCCCTATAGCATCGAAATAAATGTTAATCGAATCGATGTATTAACATTGCTTGAACACGGAATGAATAAATTTTAAGTCATTCTAAATTAAGTAATTTTTTAGTGTACATGAATTAAGTCAAACAACTGTAGGTAATCGTTGGAGTGAATATATTCTTAAGATCTACACAGCACATATATAAATAACATTAATATCAAGCTTGGAATTGCATCGTTCGCAACACTGTTACGTTCTGTGATGACAAAAGAAAACTGATGAAATTTTGTAATAATCTCAATCATCAATCTCTGTTAAAGTTGCGTGAGATCATTCATTAATAATGACATTTTTCAACCCTGTTTATCTCGAATGAACTGAAATATCATGCAGATGGTCAAAAATGACACTAAAAAACTAATTCTTATTTTGATGCTAAGACAGCTATGCCCTCCAGAGCACATAAAAAAAGTAACTCTTTCTATCCAAACTTAAACAGAGATTTCTATCACATTTTCAGTTACGTGTAATTGAACAAGAAATGAAAATAAAAATAAGATAAACTTAGTTAACTTAGATGAACCAGCTTATGACTGGAAGTCTCGTCTCTCTTGGGTAATTCAAATGGTCGTTCAAAAAACCTAACGTTTTGTTCGAACAAATGGGTCATCGTTCGGTGTTGTTTAATCCAAAGACGCTTGAATTGTTTGCACAGTACTTCTGTAATTT